GGACTACAGTCCAAGATGCGTTTGAACTTGGATCCTGAAATGGCTTTTTGTCAAAGAGTCTCACTGATGAGTTTTTCCCCTAGCGTTTTGACCACTTATCCAAGCTCTGCAAAATCTGGTCCTATGATCAGGAATATCAGCGATGGTGATGGCATCTTGAGCTAGTCCAAAGCGCCCAGATTTTGGTCACACCAGCAACCCCTCGAAGTAGCCTGTTCCCAATCACTTGCATCCGTGCTGTTTGCTCCCTTCGTTCAATATCCCCGGCTGAGGACAGAGGTGTTAAGAGTAAGTGCATAAGCAACGTTGAAGACAAATAATTGCGCATTTCCATTCAGCTTCTTTCGATACCACCACGAAGCGGCTGAACTCCCGCAGTACGACGCTGACCTGAATGATCCATGTATTGATTTTCGTAACCTGCGAATCGTCTTTCGAAAATCTAACCCTCACATGATCTGTACAACTTGAGTCAACTGTAATATGGCGTGTTTCATCACTGAAATGTACAACGGTGACGAAGGAGTCGAAAGTTCATTACCTTCGGGTTTGTTTTTGAATTTTCTTGTAAAAAATGACCGACTGGCCAGCATTCGTGGACGGCTGGGTCTGTCGCGAATATCGCAGCCATCCCTTCTAATGTTCGCAGCCTTTCTGCCGGAAACGAACGGAGGCGACAGCTCCTTTCTGCCGTTGCTCCACCTGCAAGCCACCTGCACCAAGTACGTGACGATGAACGCCTGCAGTCGTTGCAGCTCTGGCATGAGGTCGACGGGCGACACCTCGTTGTCCGAATCCAGCTTGATTTTGGCACCACATTGCAGCAGAACTTCAACGATGTCCCAACACACCTCTGAATCCTTCAAGGCACGCAACAGCGGTGTGTTCTTCTGAAACAGGCGAGCAATTTTATGAATTAACGTAGATTTTAATAGGCGTACGCGATCGTCTCCTAATCCTTAGTTGTGTGTAGCCGTAAAGAAAAGTAAGGCCTCGAATACATGTACTCTAAGCTGGTCTTCTTTAAACTTTGTACACTCTCACTGATCAGAGATAAAAGAAACATATCACGCGAATCATATACAAATACAGGGCAGTGTACATTATGTATGTAATTGATTGTTGGAAGATTTTTTGTCAGCCCCATAATAGTTAATTACAAAGTGACAGATCATAGTTCTCAGTATGAATAATTGGTTTCTTAGCCATAAATCTGTTTAAATGTTAGGACTTGTAACTGTTCATTTGCGAGCATAACGAAAGTTCGGTTATTAAATTTCCTGGAAAGAGGATGACTATTACAATTATAATCGACGTTTGTCATTAAGAAATATGGCTAAGAAACAATTCACTCACATCAGTAATTCTCAATGAAATAACATTCGACCTAATGCTCATTACCCGTATTTCATCATCTACGTTCAAAGTCTTAAAATTATGTTTCATCCCTTACACATCGTTCCCATTCGGTACGAGATTTATACAGAAATCATGTGTTCTGGGGGTGAGCTTGCATCGCGGTCCTCTATTAAGTGTGGAGTTCGCCAAGGCATACCGTCTCGTCTTTAAAACCGGCGCATATACATGGATGACTTGGAGTTCGAAACTCTCACCATCAGCCTCGCGCAAATCTCTGAAGTGCTGTTCAACACTGTTCATTAATGTTCTCTTGATAATAAGTCCTACTTTTCATACTCTTGGATTTGCTAATCCACTGTAAAGTATGAGGTGTCCTCTGTAAAGCTCCAACAACCCTCAGTTTTGTGCAGCTTTGATGAGTCATTCAGTGCCCTCACTTGCCTTTTCCGGTTCTTCTGCCTGCTCTGGAAGTGTGCTTTGCCTAGACGTGACCTGCAGTTGTAAATTTTCAGCGCCAGTAAACCGTAGCAGCTGTGATCTGTAACCAGGGAACACTTAGCACAATCTGCGTTCGTGTCTGACCAGTTGCGCCTTCGTCGGCAGCGATGCAGTCTCCGGGTAATGAAGGCCGTGCTGCTATTTGTGATTTCATCTTGGAGGATTTGGTCGTTAACCTCCCCCCTCCCCATGCTGACAAGAGAGATTGGTGAGTGTCGTTTCTTGCACTTGGCCTGTATGTTTCTCGAGCTTTAAGACCATGGTTGGCCCGGCCAGAGCCTAGAAGCTCAACTGTTCATCATTATCGAACCTGTTTTCAACCCCCTACCACGTTGAACTAATGGAGGTAGGACTTAGGAGGGACATACAATACCATTATGAAACCGTTGTCATTGCGTTAGTCAGTTTCAATGGCTTCTACGCTGTCAGGTCGCGTAAGTAACTCCGGGTAACAGTGGAGGATTATAGAGGTTTAGGTCTTTGTGAAACGCAGCCACATATCCCTCTTGATATTGCACTGTTATGGAGCGTTATACCGGGTCTGTCGTCATTCGAATTATCAAGGGCTTTGAAGGCCGTTAGGAGCTGAGACAGACCGTGAAAATTAGGTGATAAGAGGGTGCTTCACGCCTTCTGGCAACTGCTGCCGAAGATCTGCCTGAGGATCATGAAGTTACCAGTCAGCAGCGGAGTCACTACCCGTTTTGAACGCAGGAGGCAGACAGCGCGAAGCCGTTGTAACGCATAAGAAGAGGAGGTACTGAGGGAGCAACACCAACATTAAAGCGCTCACAGTCAGAAACTATAAAATGTTTACCACGCAAATATCGAAACATGCATGCACTGAATCTATTTTGTACATTGTAGTTATATTTTTAAAATTAGAGCTATTCGAGGAGCACTTTTAGCCGGCCACCTGCCAGCATGCAATAAGAATGAACACAATAGAAGCATTTGAGAAATGCAATAATTTGTGTCTTATTGGAAATGGAGATTCGTCCCAGAAACTTCGTTGTGTTTGGGCGAACGGATAAAAGGTCATATTAGCAAACCCACAGAGCAAAGTGGAATAAATATTAAAATCTGTCATGAAATATGATATGACTGACAATATAGAAATAGTAATAGGAGGTCCTGGAGCCCCTTACGCCCTTAAGGCAGTTTTATACAGGCCGATACATTGAGGGCCACTGTTTTAATGAATTTTCTAAGATGGTTTGGCGGAGTTCCTGAGGTGAAGAAGCAGTCCACACTCTGAAGTGACGATAGTAATTTAATGTTGTAACGTAACCTCCCGCATTTCATCATCTGTGTGGCAGCTATCGAGTTATTCCTTGTGCTAAAGGCACGTGCCAGATGTCACAAATTCTTCACGTGTGGTAGTGAATTTTGGAAAAGATCAACTTTGAAGCATTGGCAGTTATTCTGTCATGACAGATGTCCAAAATTTATCTTAAAAATTCTCAATGTAATGATTTGTTACCTGCCATCTAAAACTATAGTTTTAAGTAATGCTTAATTGAAACGCAAGTGACAATTATGTTTGAGAACTCACTTGGTGATCGACTGCATTGACGTCAGCGAGAAGAATGCATGACGTCATGACTTTCTCGAAGTCCCTGTTGATTATTGCGTCGAACAGAGGCAACCTCTGCGACCGACCTCTCCTGAGGAAGCAGTCGTTGTCGAGATCAGGTGACACTGAACACGCATCGAAATGGAGGTGCATGTTCGTCGATGTCTGTTCTGTCGCATAAGGAATATGCTCTCCTTTCTCAGTTACTGCTGTCATTGTTCGGTTCTATGAGGATGCACTTGCCGTTGATACCGGAAGGCCGGACGTAGACAATCTTGGTGAAGAAAACGGAGAAGTGGCCATAATGTCGTGGACAATGTTCTTGTGCTGATCACTATAGTTTCTGAAATGAAAAAAAAGCCATGAATTTCAAAATTGCAACTGACATGAGCAGATATAACAAAACCAACGTTAAGTTTGTTTTTTTCTACTAAGGCAAAGACCATACTCCAAATCCCTGCCCCAATCGAAGGAACCTCCTCGGTTACAACGTTGATAAGTAAGGGATCAAAGCCCTCGTACAGTTGGTTGAGTTCATATTTCTTCTCGTTGGTTCTCCTTTTCCGGAGCGATCAGCATGGAGAGATGCAACGATAAAAGATAGCCGTTTGGCACAGCTTCCAATCCATCAAAGACGTCCTCCTCAGCAACATCAGGACAGAAACCAACGCTTACTACCTCAATTCTAGCGTTTGGCGAGCAATGTTCTATAGCTGAGAGATCTGGTAACTTTTGAAGGCGAAAGAGCGCCAGCTGTCTGCCACCAAGGCATTCATAGACAACAGAATTTGACGTCGCAGTCATATCCCAACACGATGATCAGACATCCGACGTTAGTGAAGGACCTCGCTGTCGAAAGTAGAGAGGAGAAATTACGAAAGATCGGGAACAGAGCTCACCTCACAGATATGAGATGGTTGGCAATCCCTCCCGACTGGTACCCAAGTGAGAGGACTGGGACGCTTGGTCTTACCCCCTCATCCCCCCTACGTCAATAGAAAGCTTTCATCAGGAACCGGGAAAGCCGCATAATTGGAGGAATATGGCCTGGAACCGCAGGGAATGGCAGCCGGGATGATTCTAAAAATGGGAGATCTAGAACGATACAAGACAGCCGAGTTTTTTCTGTGTGGAGGCTTGTGAATCAGACGCTGTCATTGGATTATAAAAAGCATAGCTCATTTGCTCACCGGCTTAAGAGTGGC